CTAAAACCTCCCGCAACAAAGCAAATGATCATAAGAATCCAAAATTAAAGGGTGACTTCATTATCCTCTTAGCTAATTGCATTATATGAAACTCATGTTTAGACAAAAGTATTATAATGAACAAAAGGCTAGGACAACTTCTCATCTATATTCTTTATTTTAGACTAAATTAAAATAATGATCACTTGCAAAAATTAGTAGTGAACAAGTTTTGTTTCTAATTATTGTTGGCCATTAGCAATGTTAAAGAGACTTCCATTTCGTATGGAAGTGCATGAAAAAGAGATTTGTTGGTTGATCTCACCAGAAGACGACGGCTGAAACCCGTTGTACTGAAGCCGTTTCGCTTTAATAAGACGTTGAGCTTGACACAGTCCACGAGACATCTTCCTTCGCTTCTAGTGGAAACAGGCTGTTTTCGTCCACCATATGATCGATATTATCGGAGCTGGAACTCATTATTGTAAAAGTTTCACATTAGCACTATGTCAAGAAGAATACCTGGCTCTACCTTACCTCTTATATACACATATATTTATGTATATAAAGGCATAGATAGATATAAGATGGTTTGAGTAATCATCTTTCATATTGGTTCTGCTACTTTTGCTCGAATGCGTGCGTGTGTGACAACTTCTATACTCAATACCGGTCCTAAAGCAGAGACATCAGGAAGGTTAATTTCAAGCTCTGGTCCTCAAGACTTAATGACTCAAGAAAAAATCCTGTCCATAAGCAAGTGGGGTTGAGATAGATTACGAAACCACTTGTCCTAATCTCTAAGTCTAGGGTCATTGTGGTTTAACCACCTAAGGAAAAGCACGACTGGGACTATGTAATCTGGTACGCCTGGTTGATGAGCTCAATCTAATATGTTGTACGAGTGTGAAGTGGAGCACATCAACAAAACCACATACCGAATTACAGTCCCAGTCATGCCTTTCTTTGGGTGGTTAAACTTTAATGAGCATAGACTAAGAGTTTAAGACAAGTGGCTTCGTAACCAGACTTACATGGTAACAAGCTTGCATCTCACTATTTTAACCATACTTGCTTACGGACTTAGGCAGTCTTGGTCAGGGCTTTTCCTTGGGTCATAAAGCCTTGATGACCAGAGCTTGATATTAGCCTTTTTCTTGCTCTGATTTACGACCGGTAGTCCATATAGACGTTAGCAAACGCATACTCAAGTAAAAATATCGTAAACAATATAAAAGGGAAGTAACCAAATATATCTATGCATCTAAATTATCGTACTTTTAGTTATGAGTACATATAATGAGTAGTATAGAGACAGATAGCATTATTGACAGAGTGTTAACGTAAAACTTTTACAAGAATCAGTTCCAGCTCTGATTATGTCCATCATATGTTGGACGAAAGCTAAGCCCGTTTTCAACCGAAGCGAGGGATTGCGTCAACCTGAACTTCGTAGTAATGCCGAACGGCTGCAGTACAACGGGATTCAGCCTTCGTCCTCTTATGAGAACAATCCACGAATATGTTCTTGGTGCACTTTCATACGAAATGAAGGTCTCCCCAACAATGTTAAAATAAGAGATTCATCGAAACTCAGTTTCTCTTCGTTGCTATTAACAGTTTAACTAAAAAAAATAATTCGTTTTTGTTATTCTTCATTTTAGCAGAGGGATTCATTTTTGAAACTGAACTCAGCTATTGCAAGCATGCTAAGGAGGAAGCGTATTTAATTAGAAAACCGTCTTGAAAAAAGACCTACCTGGAGTGCACTCGTGTTAAAGAGGGATTCCCCCATCACCAAAGCTGTATCTCCTGAGGCAGAAAAAAGTTCTTCTAGAATGGCTATGGAACTACCCTGCCAGAAAGAATAGCAGGAATCGACCAATTTGTTAGTACGGCCCTAATATATAAAGGAAGCAAAGAAAAAAGGAATATAAATTATTTGGGCTCAGCCTAGTCGATTTTGCGGTTCAAATAGCTAAAACCTTCGCTCAATTGGTAGAAGCATCTTAGAGTTATTAGAGTAAAGAGGTATGCTCGTAACCGACATAATTCTACCGGCAAAATAAGTCTGATAACCCAAAATTGTATTTGGTTACCAAAGGAATTTCAATAGAATGAGTAAGTTTGATCTCGGGCGAAAAAATTAATGAAAAAAGATGATTTGTTTCTTCCAAATAGTGGCGATAGGACGAATTGTCAGGAAACTATAAGGGCCAAAATCGCCAACCATTTAGGTCATCAAAAATTATACGTTTGTTGGATGCGGCATAATATGACCAGCTGTAAGCTAGGAATTTTCGCATATTCAAGTCTGACCCACCTGGAAGCCGCCTTCACTGGCCATCTGACGATGCGTAACCCAACGTAAGAGACGCGGTGTGTTGATCAAGTTGACACGATCGAGGATACAAAGAGCCGCCAGTGCACAGAACGTGTAGCCACCATGCGCCTCGATACCCGGCTGACTTCCGAAGCCACCTTCGTAGGTCTGTTTGACAAATAGGAAAATATTAGTAAAGGAATACTAAAACGGATTTCGAAAATGCACTTTGAGACTAAATCAAATAATGTTTTAGATCGACCTTGCGTTTGCAACTTGGTCCTATTGGCATGAAGATCCAGAGGAACGCATCTAGTCCGGAGTCCATAGTATGCATGCTAATCTTCAGAGTCTGACCGTGGACGTGGTACATTCCCAGATGTTTAGCCGACATCGTCAGTGAGCCTTGATAGTCTTTTGACCAATTATCTGCTAAACAATTGTGGTATCTCTCCTTCGGCCCTGGGCTATTCACCAATCCTATATCCTCGTATCACAATTTCTTAATTGCTTATTTAAATGTGGAAGGGTGTGCTCTTTTTAGCGGATTTCATGAGAACTCTCTAAACCCAACGCTGGTTTTCTCACCCCCACCCCATCCCACAATCCTCTTCCCATGCCTTATCAGTCTCCCCTTGCCCCGTAGGATCCGCCTCCTACTTTCCTGGTTCAAGTATTTCACACCACCCCTACAACTCTCTGTACTACTCGAAGCGTTATTTCCCTCACTGTCTCAAGTCTTTGATGTCACGCATACTTCCGCCTTGCTGAAAAAGCCCCTAAAAAACAGGATTCCGAAGCAGGATGGGAGACTAACTTGAGGCTAAAGAGCTCAACTAATTATCATGGTCAAGCCTTTGCTTCATGAACCACGTGTATGATCAAACAGATCCATTTTTTGCCAACGCGCTCTAGTCTCCACCGCATCTATCGTGCTTCGAGCCATAGTAACAAGCCCATGACTTTCTATGATCTAGTCACTTGTATGCCAACCCGCAAATGTCGTGGTTCTACTTTAAACCAAATCAAAACAAGTATAACCAAACCATTTGTGGGTTGGCACACGAGAGACTAGGGCATATAAGTCATAAACTTGATACTATGGGTAGAAGTAAAATAGATGCGGCGGAGACTAGAGCTAGTTGGCTAATAGTAGACGTGTTTGATCACAAACGTGGTCCATGGAGCAAAGGCTTGACCATGATAATTAATCGGACTCTTTAGCCTTCTATGCAACTTAAGAATCCTGATTTTTAGGGGCCCACTCAGCGAGGCGGAAGTATGCGTGCCATCAAAGGCTTGAGATAGTGTGGAAAATAAGGCTTTGAGGAGTGACAGGGGTCGAGTGAAATACCTGAACCAGGAAGCTAGGAGGCGGACCCTAGGGAGCAAGAGGGAGACTGATAAGACCCATGGAAAGAGGATTGTGGGATGAGAAAGCCTGTGTGGAGTTTGGGGAATTCTCATACAATCCGCTAAAAAGGGCACACTCCACATTTAAATAAGTAATTGAGAAATTGTGATAGTGAAGGGGTGACACGAG